TTCTTCTCTCCAAAAGCTAGAATTAATTTTGGCCAGAGAGACTACATATTCTCCCAGCAAGTTTTTTTTTTTTTTTTTAATAGATCCACAACTTTTCTTGGAAAGTGACGTACTTCAGTTTCAGGTCACATTTCTTGTGTGCACGCCACCTTTTTAAATGAGACCTCTGATGTGGTTCATTTGTTTTAGTTCGACTGCTCTTCACTTGAAGGTCGAGCTGAAAATCGGCTAATTCTGACCAAAACCTGGTTGTTGATGCATCGGTGTCTGTTTAGGGATTCGTAAAGCAAGACAAAGAGGACAAGGAAGACATTTAGGAGGTCCAGTAGGAATGTATGAATTCAAAAACCCAAACCCAATGAAATGAGCAACTTTAACTACATTGTGCCTCATTAAACTGACCAATTCTCCTTAATCTGGGTTTGCGTGTTTTAAGAGAACAGGATCCATTTACTCTGAACCTAATCTCTAATCTGGGGGAGGATCTATTGTTGGTAAATAATTAAGAGTTTTTCCTCTTCAATATGTTCCTTTGAATGTTGTATAATACAAAGATGAATTGGATCAGATCCCTTATTCAGGGTCAGTTGAATGTCCCCGTGAGGTTTGCAGGATTCAGCAACAACTTTTTTTTTTTTTTCACAAAATGACATTTTTCATATGTGCCACCTTTATTAGTGCCTGATGTGTTTCATTCTATTTATTCCAGATCATTTGAAGCCATCATTAGCAGGAGGCTGATGTGGCAGAAGGCCCTGCTAAATTTAACAGCTATTTATTTATCTAGAATGGCCACGTGTTGAATGATATGCCCAGTCGCCACGCTCCCTCATCAAAGCTTTTCAGATATGTGGAGAAAAGAGACGAGGGCTAGTCTGAAGAGGAATGGGTCCTAATTCACCTGCACCACCCCTATTACACAGCGCTCTGTCCTCGGCTCTTTAAACCTCTTTAAATCTCATATTCAGAATTAAGCTGATGAAAACATAAGTGGGCTTATGGGAATGGGTGTGTTTTGGGGTTTTTTTGTGTGTAGATGAAATAGTGGCCAGGTTGAGCAACAGGGACGCCTGGGTGGTTTGTTCATGGACAAAAAATAATTAGTGGCTTTGAACAACCTAATTTTCTGTTTATAGCAGTTAATTCAGATTATTTTTAATTGTTTTTTTTTTTTTTTGTAGCTAAAGTTTTATTAAACACAAACAATCTCAAAGTATGGACTTTTCAGTATGATGTCCTGCTAATTAATTTGTCTCAGTCCTGACTTTCTTTCTATACTTATTGTAGTCAATTTTCCTTCATCTGTCGTCTGGAGTGTTTTTGTGTCTTTGTCCTATAGGTTTTCACAACAATTTAAATTCATTGGTTCAAGGTTGGTGGGGTTTTTTTCTTCTTATTGATTTCCAGTCAAGATGGTTTGGCATACTTTTTTTTTTGTCTTATAAAGGCCAATTTAATAATGGTTGATCTCTTTCAAATTTCAATCCGTTTTTCTTTCAATCTTTGAAAATCTCTCCAATAACTAGTCGAGGTTGGTTCAGATTTCTGTACAAGAATGGCGAGTAAGAGGATATAACGAGCAGCATTTTTTTTCTGCACTTTCTGCTGTGTAGAGTTAATTATTTGTAGTAGAAGAAGAGGAGACATCACACTGCGCGTGTGAGGAATCTTACTCTAAAGCCTTTTTCAAAGCGGACAAAATGATTAGAGTTCAGATCTTAAATATTTTAGCTTCTCTTAGCGTTGAGAGAAGCGAGCATTCCCAAAGCAAGAACGATATTCCTCACTGGAACGTGTTCTTCGCATGAAGTATTTGCCCGATCTTGTGTTGTTCTCGCTAATCAGAAAAATTTTGAAAATTTTTGTTTGATGTGTGCCAATCAATTTTCCAAGAAGATAAAAGTAACTGTCAGGTTTATATCTGTGCTATTTCGATCGCTAATGAATGCTTTCCAGTTTTTGTTGTTGCACATTGCATATTGAGATCTACTCATTCAGTCCTATTAAATGTCTTATAGCACACGCGTTGCTCTTATGAAAGCAGCTTAAATATCAGCTTGTTGTGGAAGACTGGTGTGTTGTATGAAAATGCACTAAAATAACCAAAAGTATTGCCAAATGTGTTTTGTGTCTGCATTTACTTGACTTTAAAAGCAAAACGTTATTCCGCTAAGAGCAGCTCGTGGACGTTTTCATTTAATTCTGCAGTCATTTTAAGTTTTTTTTTTTTTTTTTAAGATCTCCGTTTTTAATAATTTCCTATATGATACATCTCCTTGTCGGTGCTATGTGGCTACGTTTTGCTTATTTCCCCCCCCAACCAATTTGTGGCAGCAAGGCTTGTTTTGCAGCTCTTGCAGTTTTTGTGGCGTTTCCTTGAAAACCTGAACATTAAAGTTTTCTTGGCATCTCTTCAAACTGAGACAGGCTCATAATTGCTACTAGAAATGTCTTTGAAATTGAATTTTTGTCACTTTGAAATGAAATTATTGTTCACCTGTTTTTTTTTTTGTTTTTTTTTGTTGTTGTTGTTTTCTTTCTCCTCCCAATGCAGCGGGAGTGTGTAACCTCAAGAAAGCTCTTTGACAGAACACCGACTGCCCCTTTCTTTTTAATTAAAGCTGTAAGAAACAAACAACCACACACTTTCTGTCCCGAATAAGCAAAGACAAGGATTTTACTGCACCATTTCAATTTTAATCTGCGAAATGACGGGCTTGATACATTTACACAGCGAGATTGGCCAAAGGCGGAAAGAAAGATTGTGGCAGTAACTCCAAAGTAAAATAAAATCATTGAATCGATTTGTGGGCACTTTAATGCAAATGAGTGTTCCTGGAGAAATTAACGTGCTTCCCTCGCCCCTCTTCAGTCAGGGTTCTAATCAGTGGTCTCCCACCTAGTGGAGTAAACAACGGCAGGTTAAGCCAATAAAACACAGCTTTGGCAAGTTTCATCGGGGGGCTTTCATTTGACAGAATGCGCCTGTGGATTTGACTGGCAAGGTGAAATAAGAAAGGAGGCTACTACAGAGTGTGAAAGCTCGAAACTGCATTCAGACGCAGACACACATTTGTTGTGTGGGCAATAGCTGCTGCAAAACCACCTGCAGTTCCATATTTACCACAGCTTGGGCAAACAGCAGTGAGCGAAGGCTCCGCAGGCACCTGCTGCGTCCTGGTACATGATGCTGTCTGTACGCCGCCATGATATTGTGTGATCATGTTTTCCTGAGACAAAACGCTGTTCTTCCCTCAGCACATTGTTTTCGGAGGCGTTTGTGTGTTGAGGGGAACAAAGTGCAAATGAAACTGGCTGAAAGCCAAGAACTTTAAATAGACCTCGTTCTTGGCCTCAATGTTTATTTACCCCCCCGTCTGAGCAGAACAGTGATCGTTTTTGATATTAAGTCAATTAAATCCAAAATAGCATGGCCTTTTTATAACTGGAACACAGATCTGAGTCACACACACAAACACCTACACCGCACATGGTCTTAGCTGGAGGCAGTTTTTTTTTTTGTTTTGTTTTTAAGGTTTTACCCCAATAGCTGAACTCCAGAAATACCTTGATATGTTTGAGATTATGAATCACAGTTCACTGTTAGTGTTGCTGATGCAACAGCCAGTTTAGTGTATAACCTAGAGGTGTAGTGATACATGCAGTTCACAAGATGAAAAGACGGACAGTATTAGGTTCTCAGTTTTTTTTAAACGTTTTACAAATAAAAAGAAATGCTTTAAATATATATATTTTTACTGCTTTAACTGTGTTTAACAGTGTCATAAATATGGCCAGTGGGATTTGACTAGTGTGTTTTATAGATTTGTTTTTGTAGAGCCAAATGCAGCAGAGATGCTCAATGCCATTGTGTTCATAACTAGAATAAAAGCTTAATAAACTTCAAACTGTGTTTCAAACATTCTTCAGTGTTTGATTAGCCAGTTCAGGGTTATTGTGTTAGATTTTGACCGGAAAATGGCCAAAAAGTCTAAAACGTAAAAATGTTCTGTGTGGATAAGTAAAACAGACAAACAAAAAAATTACTTTATTTCCTGACCCATTGTCTCCATCCACTGAACTTGGATAAAATTTGAATCATCACCACAGGTCAGCCTTTAATTGTTCACACCAAAATAAAGACTCTAAAACATAGACATGGTTGCCAAGCTTACAGTGCTTTCGTATCACGGGGTCATAGTTCAAAAATGGCTTCACCAGATGAAGCATTGCTAATGTAGCCACTGGATATGATTGTGTGTCGGCATTTTTAATACCATTTTACCCCATACCAATTCCCTTGGCGTAATCATGGAATCAGATTGGATAAATGGTTGATATCACTGTCAAAACTGAGACAGCAGAGTAGAAAATCTGAAAACCTGAGTACAATCTGTCATGGCGCTTTTTACGCTACATTACAAATGTGTGCTGGCATCGTCTTGAGATGCTTTAATGATGTTTAAAAGGTGCTGCTCTTTTTAGTAATTTGTTCAAGTGTATAAATGTTCAAATCTAATATTCATTTGTGAATGTTAGTTGGTTAGTTGGAACCATGTCTGATTAATTTTGTAAAAAAAAAAAAAGTTTTTTTTACGCATATGTTTGATTTTTATACCACTTTCCATAATCACTGTAGAAAACTGTGGTGTTTTAGACCCACTGTAGGCAACAAACCCAGATGTGGTTCTAGGAGCTGGGTGGGTCCGATTTTACGATTGATTTGTAATCGGGGACCACCAAGCTCCCAGACATTTTTTTCCCTCCCAAAAAAAAAAAAAGAGGTTAAAAGAGACATAGAGGTTAAAATGTGATTCTGTGTGTTATAAACTTTCCTGACCCTGACCTTAACATAAATTCTTATATGCACTATTGCATTGGGGTTATGTTAACCACTCAAATGCTGTTGAGCTCCAGTGTTTGTGGCCTTTAGAGTGCATTGATATATGCATTTAACTTCATTAATAATGAAGCACTTTCTCCTTTCCTGTTCCCAACAGAGATGGCAAGCTGGGTCTCCCTTCTTCTCGTCCTCTTATGCCGATCAATATCACAAGCCCAGGAGGAGAGCAGCAACGCCCCACACCCGGTTTTCAACTCCGAGACCACCATTAATAATGTGGTTCAAGACCCCCAGACGGGCCGTATTTATCTGGGAGCCAACAACTCCATCTACCAGCTCGGCCCTTCCCTCAAGCTGCAGGCCCGTGTCGAGACGGGCCCCAAAGAAGACTCGCCTACCTGCACACCGCCAGCGTCAGCCTGCCAGAACACGAAGCAGATGCCCAATCTCAACAAGCTTCTGCTAATCCATCCATCCAATCAGTCACTTATAGCCTGCGGCAGTCGCTATCGGGGCATCTGCTCCCTCCTCAACCTGTCCAACGTGGAGCAGGAGATTTACTACTCCGACAGTAAAGGAGAGAGGACTTACGTTGCCAACGTAGAAGATAACGTCAATGTGGTGGGAGTCATGTCCTACTACAAAAAAGACGGGAAAACCTTCAACGTGTTTGTTGTGGGGAAGGACTACAGAAACTCTGACAGTTCAAAGCTCATCAGCACGCGGATCCTCGACGAATACAAGGAGTGGGTTGTGTTTGAGACCATCATCGAGGCTTCCACAATACAGCCGCCATTTAATATAAAGTACTCTCACGACTTCCGGCATGCCTTCAAAGAGGACGGCCACATATATTTTCTCTTGTCTCGAACTGACGGCGTGGACACTAAAAACCTGACCTTCGTGTCCCGTCTCTGCGAAGACGACCAACATTACTACTCCTACACAGAGCTTCAGCTGAAATGTGGAGCAGAAAATCAATACAACAAAGTCCAAGCGGCTTTTGTGGCTTCTCCTGGAAAAGAACTGGTGCGGGCCATGACTGGGTCCACTGTGTACACTGGGATGGAGAAAGAATGGGAAAAAGTCCTCTTCATGGTGGCAAGTTCGGACGACCTTGATGGTGAATCGGCTCTGTGCATGTATCCCATGAACTCCATCAACGAGAGGCTGGTGGACATAATCAGCGCTTGTTACAGTGACAACGGGAAGATTTCAGGGGAACCTGCTGTCTACATCCCCTACTCTTCGAAAGCTGGAGAGTTTTGCACGTCTAATATTGGAGTGAGTTCTCGATAAACGTAGCATATTTTATAGATCTCTGTCTTCTATGTATAAAAAAAGCATATTTTCTCAGTAAAAACAGTTATTGCATACTTGTTTTTTTTTTATATTCCTGTCACGCATACTATTGATGGTAGGCATTTGAAAAGCTTTCCTAGTCAGATGCTATACATTAACATTAATAAAACTTGTGTCAGGTAGACGGATAAGGCCAGAGTTATTTATATCCGCAACACTTAGATTGGTGTGAATATGTGTGTGAATGGCTGAATGCAGTGTGAGGCGCTGTGGGGTCCTCCGGATCTGATGAGGCGCTTCACAAGTACAGGCCATTTTAGTAACTTTCAGTGACTGAGAAGTTTGTTTTTGACAGAAAATGACACGGGCACCTTCCACATGACATTTAGCAAAGAATGTTGCATTGAAAATTTATATTCTCAGATGGCACTTCTATAGTGGAAAAGCCTTTATTTTTTATTAGAGCAATCAAACACAGCTGATAATCATTTTCAAAATGTTCCCATATATTTGACTATACAAGTCTTATCTCCAGATCTTTCAGTCTCCTCCTCTACCCTCTAATCTTTATCTGCTTTGACATAACTCCATCAGACCCGAGTCATTACAACATATGCCCCAGCCTTAAACATCTTAAATTCATGTATCTACAATTAAGGCCTTAAAATATCTTAAATTCTTTTTAAAAAACGTAAGTTGGCCTTTCTGTTATTCCCAGGTCTTAAATTTTTGTCTGGACAGGACTATTTAGCCTCTTATATTCTTCTTCTTTTTTTCTTTTTTTTTGTCGCAGAACTTTTCTGTCAGACAAAAGTTTGAGTCGCACTCACGCATCTTATGTTCTGTGACTAGAGACGCTTGAAGCTACCGCTAACTAGCCACTGCTAGGTGTACAGGGTGTATCCTGGCTAGCTGGCTAGCTATTTTGCATCTTTCATGGGGAAGTGTAAATTTATCACGTTGGCTGGATGAAGTTTGTGCATTTCTGTGGAGTTATAGGTCTTAAGTTGAATTCACGAGTGTCTTAAAAAGTCTTAAATTTGAGCTGGTGAAACCTCCGGAAACCTTGAAAATAACAAGGTGCACATTGCATGAATTAGTCAGCCTTAAGCAAAATGCGCAATATTCAACACAAATTGCACATTTAAGGATGCTGACTAATTAAAAATGTCGATCCATTCATCCATAATCTATAAGTGTTCCTTCTTTCAGGGGGCTGGAGGCTGAAAGGATTTTAAAATATACTACTGAAAACGCTCCTATTTTTATTCTTATTTGTCACAGAGGAACAAAATCACATCAGAAGTTGATCCCAATCAAATTCAAAGTTTTCTATATTTAAGTTAATTTTTTTTTTTTCCTTTAGTGTGTATTTTTTGTCATAAAGCCCACACTGAACTAATTCTTACTTGAAATGTCTGGCTTATTGTGCATAACTTTAGCTATTTTTTTAGTTTTTGGTACTTTTACAATCAAAGAATGAGTTTCTCTTTAAAAGCCTAAATTTGACACATAAGCAACCCAAGCAGAGAATAATGTGCCTTTTTGGATGAAGCACGCAATGTAACAAGTTAAAACTGCATTTCAAATTGCAAAACTAGGTTTTGACTATAAAAAGTAGTCGCTATGCACACGTGAGCAGTGTAATTAGTATATAATTTCATAATGTTGAGAGGAAAAAGTAATAAGTCATCTCTGTACAATTGTTTACCTTTCACAGGAAGACTTGCTGGAAAGCTACAAGTGTGGTGCAGACTTTTTGCCATCCCCTCTGGCCAGCAGGCCAAAATTTGCCTTAACGGCCAGTGCAGTGTGGACCTCTTCAAGCCTTCTGACCGCTGTGGCTGTTGCCGTGGAGAACGATCACACCATTGCTTTCTTGGGCAACAACAAGGGAGAGGTCTTCAAGGTGGTGTTATTTCATCTGTTTCTTCTCTCAGCTTTTCATTTTCTTTAACCTTTCGCCCGGAGGGAGCTTGTGTCAGGTTAATGACGAAGCTCATGTCTGACAGTGTTGCTTTCTTTTTTCTTATTTGTCCAGGTACATCTCACAGCGACAGCGGATGAGTACGGAAAGGTTCCTGGTGACAACATCGGGGAGAAGGTCAACAAGAACCTCTTCTTTGACCTCCCTCACAGCCACCTCTACATCACCACAGAGAAAAAGGTACGTTAGGCAAGAAGAGCACAGCGCATTCATGCAGGTGAACAGCAGAGAGGAAGCCTGTTGCTTCATGGCAGCACTTAAAGTCAAATACAGCTCCATCTTAAATATTGCAGAATAAAACGTCACTTTTTTATTATGCAAGTTTGAAAAGTACTATTTATAAGTGAAATAATCTGTCGTGGATCAAGACTTTTTTCCTATATTATAATCTAAAATGTCTTGTTCTACTGGAAGATTATTTCACTTTTCACCAATATTAAGGAATTATTTGCTTAAAACAAGATCCTATATCTTGCTGAAAAGTCACTTGCAAGTTAGTTTTGTCTTACTCCAAGTGTACAAATATATTTGCACTAGAAACTAGACCAAAAATACTTGCTAAGGTTCTATTACTGCAGTACAAATGGAATATTCTGGTTATTGAAGAGACATTTATCTTTTATTTTGATAGAAAATCTCACCCAGAATTTGATTTTTTTAATCTTTCTTTTTTGCAGCTTTTTGTCTCAACTCCTAGTTGTGCGTTTTAATACAAGTATAACCTGTTCAGTTGTAAAACTCACCAATAATATTTTAAGTCAGAATCGACTGTTACCTTATTAGTAACATTACACTGGCTTTATACATAGATCATTTTTATTACTAAGCAACATTTTAAAAAATTCTGATGAGAATCCCAGGTTGAATAAACCAAATCCCAAGAAAAAAAACAAAACAATTATAGCAAAATCTAGACTTATTTCATGTGACTGAGGTCAAACTTTTGTGTTCACAGCCAAATAGACTTTAAAAAGAAACTGGAAGAAGAGTTAAAAGGGAATAAACAATATATATATATATATATATATATATATATATATATATATATATATATATATATATATATATATATAAAATATAAGAAAGAAGTGGCAACAGTTTATCCAGAAGTTAATATAAACGAACCACTATTATAATAATTACTATTCTTTTAAAAAACAAAGAAAATGTTGCAAATGTTTTGAAGTGAATATATACAGATATATTCTCAGTTGACATACAGCTGAATTTAAATCTCAAACGCTTTTGTATTTCGACAAAAACAACTGCGCCGTACGTAGACAGGCGACTGAAAACTGAACCCAACTTTGATTTTTTCCCCCCCTTCGTTCTGTTGTTATGAGCCAGGCTCACAGCAGAGGGACACAGGGTTAAAAGGGTGACTTGTACTTGATCAAAACAATTTTGAATGACACGATGTTCAGCTGCGTTGGAAGCGGCGAGCGTTCGCGTCTCTGCCAAGCTCAGTCAAAAGCAGAGTTGAGTGCCAACTTTCTTACAGATAAGCGAGATGTGAATCCTTTTAAAACATGAAAAGTATTTTTAGACCGTTTCTCCTGGAAGACGCTCATAGTGCTAAATAATTGCATCAGGGCAGGGATAAAGAGAGAGAAAGAGAATCTGTGCAGCTTTCTCCTAAAAACAGAGAGGCTATTTCAGACACATTTAGGGACTCGTGCGAGCACTTTGCTTGAAGAATACTGACAGCAGAACGTGGTGCCTAATGGAAGTGCATAGGGTAATTACATAGGTAGTTACTTTCTATTAGCCCGATACAGTAAACATTTACTGAATGCTCTGAGTAAATTGTTTCAGTAATTGAACATGACCATGTGCTTTGACAGGAGCACTCCTCCAGCAAACCAGAAGGCACTTCTAGCTGAGCGCCTCGTCTCCGAGGTGCACCGTTTGATCGTACTCTGTTTTGTAATTCTCAAGATCACCAAGGTGCCGGTGCAGACGTGCCTCCAAAAGACAGACTGCAAATCATGCGTGGAGCTGAGGGATCCTTACTGTGGCTGGTGTGTCCTGGAGGGCAGGTGAGAATCTCTGTCACAGAGACACGCACGTGTGCACAAAAACACATGGATGCAAACACCCGCGAATGCTGTTCCGTCTGTGTAACACAGTGGGGTGTTTGTTCGGTGTGTTTTATTGCAGACACATTTAGTACCCCTCGGTGTTTATATTCAGTCTTGTGTTGTCCACGGAACCGTAAGGAATTAAAGCTGTTTGTCAGCTTCATGCAGCGAAGCCAGACTGCAATTTACTCTGATCAGCCTATTTTTATCAGGGTCTGCAAAGTAAAAAAAAAAAAAAAAAAAGGTGCGAATGTGTCATATTTCACAGGTATATGGTCAGGAAGTTTCTTTAGAAAGTTAGTGTTAGTTTTATTATAAAATGTGTGCTTTGGTCATTAGTTGAAGAGATAAACAGGTTGTTTATTTTTTTTAAAAAGTCTAAGCTAGTTGAGTCAGAAAATAAACCTATTTATTTTGCTTAAAGTTGTTTTCCCTCAAAAAGTACCTAAGTTCATTATCCCCGAAATAATTGCCCTTAAAAGTTAAAGTATATTTTTTTTCCAGTGCCAAGATTCTGACTTTTAAAAAATAAATTTCCAAGATAAAAACTCAAAGCCTCACTGTTGGTAAAAGAAGAATGAAACTTTTTGAATTGGTAGTAGATAGATCGAGTTTAGAAATGACTCGACATGATTTTTTTAATGATAATTTTGAGTCAAAATATCACGCTTTTATGATAGTTACAGAAAAATGTAATTAAAGTGAGATATGGTCAAATTGCTTTGATTTCAAACAGAAAAGCAGCAGCCAACACCGAGAAAATAATCTACAATATAAAAATCTGACTGAATAAGAATATGTCCATATATTTAGTATGTAAATATAATGTATTTATAAAATATTCATTTTTTTTGTTCTGTTTATCAAAGAACTCAATGTAATCTGTTATTCCCTGCCTATTTAGTCTGGTTATCTGTCCATGTATTACCTGAACAGGACAGACGGGCGGCGCTCCTTCGGGTTCTGCACGGCTGTTCGTGTTTTTCCTGAACAGAAATACTTTCAGCTTTTACTTTGTAAGCAAATGTAGCAGATTTCCTTCAAGCAGCTGGTGGGCTGTGGAAAACAAAATGAGACTTGTTCTTTTGATGATCATAAAAATTACTTTAAATTTCTGGAATAATTTTAAAAAAATAAATAAAATTTGCTTCTGTAAAATCTTAGAAGTCACTATTTTGGTCTCAAAACTTGAGAAAATGATCATTGCATTTCCAGTCTCCTGTTAGAGAGATAAAACAGTCAGTTTTATAAAGTAGTTTTATGCTTCACAAAGTTAAATAAACCTACCATAAATGAGCCTGGAATGACTTTGTGCTTGTGAAAGTTTGTTTTAAGAACATGTTTTTTTTTTTTTTAGGTCACTTTGGTGTCAAACTATTATTCACAAAGCCCATTGAGATTCTGCTGGAGTCTGGGGCGTGTTTACGGGATGTGGAGCAGATGCTGATGGCGGTTGTTCATCCTTCATTTGTAGGTGCACCAGGAGGTCCGAATGCCGCCGGGCAGAGGAGAGGAACGGCTGGCTGTGGAGCCCCGGGCAGGAATGTCTCAAGATTTTATCCTTCTACCCGCCGAACCTTTCCACCAAAAAAACCGACAAGGTACACACAGCTCCTCTAATTTGCTCTGGTCTTGTTTTTGTGTGTGTGTGTTTTTTTTTTTTTTTCTCTCTCTCTCTTGCTGGCTTCCAGTGTATGCTAAACTCATGCCTATGATCTGAGCTATAAACTGTTTACTCTGAGTCAGCGACCATAGACTCCGGGTCTTCCTGTTCTGTATTGATCCATCCAGAAAGCTCCAAACTTTCCTATTAATAACCAGGCTGGCTGATTGGGCCTTTCACTGTGAAGATTGAGAGCCCCTCTTATGTGCTTTGCTTCTAAAATGGTTTTTCTCATTCCTTTTGCTTCCTATTTTTCTGTCCCTCCCTTTCTGACTCACTGGAATTCCCATCAAAAGCTTGTCTCCTCCTTTCTTGCTCTCAATCAATCTCCCGTCTTTCAAAAGGAAATTGTTTCTTGTTTTCTGACTTCTGTTTCAGAGGCGTTTGTATCATTAACAGAGCAGAGAAATTAACTCAAGTCTTTATTTCTTTTTTTTAATCAAAGCGTGTGATGAACAACATTGATTTTAGGAAGAATCAATTGGTTTTATATTCTCTGTGTGTTTCTTTTTTTTTTTTTTTTTTTTTCCTTTTTTCCCAACCAGATCCAGATCAACATCCAGGCACTCCCTTCTATCGGACCCTCTGACCGTCTGAAGTGTAATGTTGGATCGTTCCAGAGTGAAGGCACCATGTCATCGGGAACCGCCCAGGTCTCCTGTCATCTGCCACAACCTTCGGATATCCCGAAAACTCCAGAGAATCAAGGTCTGGCTTTTCCTTTTCATGTCCAATCCAATTTCCTTAAGGTGCCTCGCAAAAAAGCTCTCAAGGTTTTCCACATTGCAGCTGTAATCTTCAATATATAGTACTGATTTCTCATATGGTGAGCAATCATATGAGAAATATGAGAAACACCCAATTTTGAAGTGACATGGTTTTTGAAATGGATGGATGGATTTATATTAATCCCTATTTACTGTTTACATATTTTTTCTTCATTTCTTTCACACCGAGGCATTTGTGATGAACGAGCTTTGCTTATGTGAAGTTGCAAATATGTTAAAGTAAAACATTTTATAATAATTAAAGCTCCAAGTTTTAAAAGGCAGAGTTATGACTTTATTAGCTTTGAAGAGAATGACACGTTTGCTCTTTTTTTTTGTAAAATCGTTCAAGCTTAGTTCAATTTGATTAGGAATGGGCATTTTTTCATATTGTTTATCATTTATCATGATACATTTCTTATCGTGTTAAGAATTTAGTTTGATCACTTTTGCGATAAATTCTAATTAATGTTGTTTAACCCCAAACTTCCTGTTCAATGAGACAATAAATAAATATGAATAAATTCAGTGGCTGCGCGGAGCTTAGTGATAGAAATCATACTTTTATAGTGAATAGTGTCTGAAAGAATGTTTTACAAATAGAAATGTTTTTCAAGAGCAGTATTTGTGCTTGTGGGCTCATACAGTTACCTAAAAATAGTTCTTATTGTCTTATTGTTATCACAATCGTGGCATAAATTATCATGATAATAAATCCACATTGCCCATAAGGCATGTTGTCATGCTGCAGCCGAGCCTCTGCCTCAGCCTCCAGCAGGTTTCCCATCTTCCTCCAGCATGATGCTGCCACCACCATGTGTGGATGCTAGTTTTAGATGGAGAGAGTTTGGAACGTAGGCTTGAAGGCTAAATTTTAGTCTCATCCGACCACAACTCCCTATTTCACGTGTGTTTTTTGTGTCCGTTATATGGCTTCTGGTTAAGTTCAAATGGGGCGTCTTTGGGTTGTTTGACTTCCACTCGTCTTTCTAAAATTGTTGAAATGATTAATGAGCTGCTTTGCATTGATCTGTAATATAAAAGTGTAAAGTGTGCAGACACTTTGGCCGAACAGTTTATCTCTCCGCTTCAGCTAATTCTGTTCCTTCAGTGTTTGTTTAATTCTGCAATCTGGCTTTTATGATTTAACCACTATCTGCAAAATGTTGGCATTGTCTCAGTTGTGGTCACTTTCAAAAGAGATAAAAAGTTGCCAGCCAAGAAAATCGGTACAAAACGTTACAGATTAGGTCATGATTTGCAAACGGTTGTGGAATCGTTGAACAGATATTTACTGAATGAATCATTTCTCCGGTCTTGGTGAGCACACACGGCATTTGTGCTTTCCCTGCCTTGCTTATCTTTATAAGATACTTAAACATTTTGCTCTCTCCTTAGATTTTGTGGCCGTCTCAGTGAGGATTTTCGTCAACGAGACTGTGGAGCTGGCTGAGAGGGAGTTCAAGTTCTACAACTGTGCAGCCACTGTGAGGAAATCAGAAAACACGCCGTGAGTGAGATTGTTACCTATCAGTTCTGCTCTGTCACTCACCAAAACGCACAGTGACACTGAACACAGCATCGCCTTGACAACCTTGATGTAAATTTATCACCACGCATGAATAGATGAGAGATCAAGGCTCTGTTTGTAAATTGTGATGCATGGCGGCTTTGAATGCACCTCTCGCATTTTTCTGTGCCTTTATTACCAAACCGAGGAAATTGCCTGTGTTCCCTTTTCATTAATCAAAAAATGAAAGTCGATCACACCAGTCCCCCCCTCAGACCCCCACCCATATTTTTTCTTCATTTCTTTCACACCGAGGCATTTGTGATGAACGAGCTTTGCTTATGTGAAGTTGCAGAAATCCATTTCAATGTCAGCTGCATAGATTTTTGTGCCGGACGGCCTCTGATGAGTTTGCATGTTTTTTTTTTTGTTTTTGTTTTTTTAAATTTCATTCTTTACGGGCTTTTGTTTGTATGCAGTAATGTAAATATGCTCGTCAGAATTCCCTGACATTTGATATCGCCGTGTCTTTTAGGTGCATGGCATGCGTGACAAGTCCGTGGGGCTGCCAGTGGAACACGCGTTATCACACATGTAGTGACAAAGACGACAGCTTAGTGGGCCCAGACATCATCGGACACCGTAAGGTCAGTCTCAGCAAAGAGATGAGAGTCGATGTCTTCCATCACTAACAGTGTGTTGGCATGTTAAACGAAGAGAGCCCTGTGTCTGTTTTACATTTTGCCACAATAGAACCACAGACGATGTCAATGTTATTAGCATCTTATGCCACATTCCTACACTAAAGAGAGGGTTTTTTTCAGCATTTTTCCCCTTTATGAAAAGTGTGGTGTGAATTTGTATTGAGCCCTCTTTATTCTGATACACCAAACTAAAATCCAGTGCAACAAACCACCTTGAGACGTCACCTAAATAGTGTTAGGATAGAGTGCACCTATTTCAACCCTGTTCTGCAAAAAACACAAAATCTTATCAAGTATATTTGGTCTAGTTACTAGTGCAAATATCTTTGTGCATTTGAAATAAGGCAAAACTAACTTAAGGGTAACTTTCCATTAGCCTGCTTTAAGTAAATAATTTCTTAATATTGATGGAAAAAGTGTTAAATCCACTGGTAGATTATTTCACTTATGGGAAAAAAAAGTCTTGTTATAAGTGAGATAATCTGCCAGTGGAACAGGTACTTTTTGATCGATATTAATTAATTACTTAAAACCAGCTCCTATCTTGCTGAAAAGTTACAGTGGCCCCGATCCATTGGCTACTTAATAATAGTCACCCAACTGTTGCAAACGTCGGGTTTTCATCACTATATTTAGAGAACTTTCAGACAAAAAAAATCGACAGCAGGTCAAGTTTTTTTTTTAAGATTCGTGATTGGTCAAATTTGTGGTGCAACCCAGGACATACAACCAGCTCTGCAAGGGAAACATATTAATGTGTTGGAATGACTCCAAAGTCCAGACAAAATCCAAATGAGTGTTGAAATGTGCTGTTATGCTCTCCCTTTAATCGGACCGAACCTGAACTATGTTGCAAAGACGAATGGGTAAAACATCAGTCTGTAGATGTGCAAAGCAGACAGAGCCACGCTCCAATAGACTTAGCATTGCATCAAAAGGATATTTATTCAGAGGGATAAAACAATTTTTCAATTTCTTTTTAGAATCAAAAATGTAAAATTATGCATCATTTTCTGTCCACTTTATATTTCTTGTCTTGTATTTCTGTAAAAATGCAATTCCACTAAAATACATTAAGATTCGTGGTTGAAATTTGATTAAACATGAGAAGAGCAGGGGTGTGAACACTTTTATAAGACCGTGTATCTGTTCATCGATTGTGACCCAGCAACTGACTGTACAGAGCCTTCCTGAAAATTAATATTAAAAAAAATGCAAATCCCTCAATCAGTTGCCAGCATCGTCCATGACAAACACCGAGTGTGGAAGATATCAATTTACAAGTCGGCAGATGTTCCAGCGATACACTTATCTGTTGCCGCAGACGAGGGCGTCCGTTAAGTGGCTTGCATGTTTGAAATGCAGATCATTAAAAGTGGGAGTGTCTGACTTGCTTTGATGTGTTTTCAGGGATCGGATTGTCCTCGGTTTGAGAATCCAGACCCAGTTCTGATCCCAGTGGGCCACGAGACCAGTATCAGTTTTGAAGGGATCAATTTGGAGAACTACGAGGTAAACGACCCAAAACATTCACTGGTTTGTTAGCAAACAAACGAATGCGGTAGAAAAGCTGTAAAAGAATAAATAAACAGCTTTTTCTTGATTAAAAAGAAGAAAAAAAGAACTCCACCTTTATAAGAAAGCAGAAAGAGGAAGCAGACGTCGGACGTGCTAAATTCCATTAATCACCTAAATCACAACAGGAAGTCATTACAGTGAAGCGAAATGGGAAATGCACTGTATTTATGTAGCACTCTGATAGTATTATTGACCAAGCAAAGTGCTTTAAAACACAAGCCACATTCATACACATTTATGCAGAGTTTTTTTTTTTTTTCCTTCTTCCTGCCTTACATAAAGCACTTCTATCACAGACGCACTTATACATCAGGGGAAACTGGGAGATTTACCAGTGTTGCTAAGAACACGTCGACATGTGGACTAGACTGGCCGGGGATGAAGCACCTACCTCCTGATTAACGGTGGACTCCCTCTGCCTCTTTAGTCATCACTTCTGATTGAGACTTTGAGTGTTGAAGCAAGTCTTAATCCAAGTTTTGAAGCCAAACTTGCCACTTTTGTGTGCCTTCATAAGACACCATCTGAGGCTGAAGGATCTATAAAGCTACCTGTAATTTACTAACGTATAATCATCTCAGTGTGTGAAGGCTGGAACAGTCTGCATGTATTTTTTATTTTTTTTTGCCATGCTAATGGAATAGGCGAACATAGTATGTACCTGCATGTACGTCTCAAAAAAAGAAAAAGAAGGTCATTTTATTATGAAGTTTATTTCCATAATTAAAACTCATTCTGNAGNTTAAACACAGCGTCTTTATTTCTTTTAAGTTTTCATACAGAGTTGCTGGTGGTTCAGTTCTGTATCCAGGCATACTATTGGATAGCTAAGTGGAAGGAAAAAGTGCATTGGGAAAAAGATACACAATCAACAGGCATGAAAGCGTCCTTGAGAGGATTATGAATCAAAGTCCATTAAAGAATTTACAGAGGCATCGTCTGCAGCTCTTGTGAGAGCTTAAAGACAGATTTATTGGTTGAAATATTAAAATAGGCAATTGTACGTTTTTTTAGAGGGCGTTTCAGGTATTTGCAGCTTTTAATTTTTTGGCTCGCGGCTGTGTTGCACAGACACTTCTGGGAATAAAAGTTGTTTTGGTCTAATATATTCAAATTTTCTGAGACACTGAATTTTAGGTTTTCATTTGCTGCTTTCATTTGGTGATCAGTATTAATGTTGCTAATCACTTGAAATATGTCAAGATATCACTTAGTGAGTCTTGTCTTTGTTCTAATGATAGCCAATGCCTTCTGCATCAGTTCACCTGTTCCCCTCGTTGTTGTCACGCAGGATCATGTTTTCACCATCGGCACCGAACTGATGAAAAACATGGAGGAAGTGGTCAGAAAAGAGAGCGGTCGTTTCTACAGTTTTAACGGCTTCAGTGTGAGTACGCCACAGCTGTAAATACTGCACTATACTCTTGTTTCTTTCCTGGGTGTTAGCAGAAAATATCCTCCACTGAACTGCAGCTTCTAAGCTACAGCTAAGGTGTGGGGTTGTTCAGTTTATAGTGCTACACAAGTAGCAGCATATACCGTAGGACAGCCTCTGTTCTTTCTGCAGCACATCCTTTTTTATCGCCAAGCATGTTCTGTATGTTGCGTAATTATAAATGCATTTACCCTTTAGCAGTTTTTTCCTAATCCTTTGATATTCTCTAGCTCCCTCTAATGGACAGCCTCCACTCGTTTGAGTTATTTCGGCTGCGTCTGTCCACATTTTGAAATCTCTGATTGAGAAACTCGAACTGTATCTTGCCCCCAGCTATGTTCTTTCTCCAACATTGATTTCCTCTGCTGAAAATCTGCCAGACTGGGTATAATTTTTCTTTTTCTTTCTATTTTTTTCCCCCCTTGGCACAGGGTGGCAGCAGCAGCCCACACTGTTTGTCGAGAAGAGTTTAAATGTAATAAATCTCTGGATTTCATAGTATTTATTCATTCTGTTTTCAATTCCTTAGTTCTCCTACGATAAGTCACCGGAGACCAGCATCCTGTTTTACATGAAGGACAAGAGGACTGGGAACAAGATGGACAGCACTCTGAACGGTGCATTTCTTAAGCAACCTGGAACAAAAACGAGAGATGGGGAATCTGACTAATACTCCATAACCGTTCTTCTCTCCTCCCTTGCGATCCAGTCACCCTGTACAACTGCTCCGTGGGGAGGGAGGACTGTAGCCTCTGCAAGTCTGCCGACTCGAAGTACAACTGTGTGTGGTGCAGCAAGCAGAAGGCGTGTGTGTTCAAGAAGCTCTGTAGTGATTCCCAAAACACTGAGTGCCCCAACCCTGAGATCACCAACGTAAGTACCGGCAAACCTCACATTTACATTTAAAATGTGACTCCGCGTCCAGGATGTTTGAACAGGAGAACACATTGATCTGTGGGATTGGATTATTGATTAGACCAGTGTATTGGCTGTGTATTGTCTGTCTCATCTGTGTGTTGACAGAAGATTTGGAAGTCTCCTTGTGAGCATGCTGCAATGTTCCTCCATTATGTCTAGATTGGATCGATATTTTGTTTGCCTACTTGGTTGTTGGTGTCTTTTTTGTCATTGACAAAAGAAATGCAGACCAGTAATTGTGTTGATGTGATTCAGACAGAGGTTGTCAGCAGCCACAACACTGACAAACGGATATATTGGTTGATGGTAACGCGGATAAATGGCATTGGCAGGATTGTTTATGGTGTCAGTGGGTTGATCAATCATTGAGACTTTCAAGGATCCCAGACGTTTCATTCAGTTTGTCTGCTAAACCTTTATTCTACTTGTTCACAAAAACAGCCAGACTCCTAAATCTCTACCATCTTTTCTTAAACTAGAACCAAGAATCTAAATGTATGGAATAAGGATTTTATGTGACAGGTCAACAAAAAAAAAATGTTGACATACCAACGTTTACATTTACATTGATACCCCTAAATAAAATCCTGTGCAGCACACATCGCTTTGCAGTCTACTTAATCAAAGTATAAATCCAGGTGTTTTTATTAGTTTAAAGCATTGATTTTGATGAATTAATTACGTAGATTTTTTTTAAAAATCAATCAAAAAGGTTCCTGCTGGAAGCTGGAAACCTGCAAGTTTTATTTTTCTTTAAAGAATAACCAATAATCTCCAGCTGTTGTTGCAAATGAAGGTTTATGTACAGAGTATTGATACGGGGAGGCGGGTTTCAAAGAGGCACTACACTTTGAAAGAGGAAAAAATAGATTTCAAAGTTATGCCCCGTGTGTTGATCTGTCACAGATTCAAAGTGCTTTATGATGTAAAGCACTTTGAACTGCCTTGATGCTGAAATGAGCCACACAAATAAGCTCCATTGATTGATTTCTGCAAACTTTCTCCCTGCAGATCGTCCCTCTTTTTGGGCCCATGGAAGGAGGCATCTCCATTACCATCCACGGGTCCAACCTTGGTATTTACAAGGAGGACATTAAAAACATCACAGTAGCCGGAAAGCCCTGCATACATCAGGCGGAAAAGTATTCTGTCTCCACCAGGTAAAGTACGCTCGGTGTGAGCTGCACCACAAACACACGTTTCATTGTCATTTTCCTAATTTGTGTTTTTGAAGCATCTCTGCATTCGGAGGCTTTTCCCTCTCCTCGCTGTGTCGTGCCTGCATGTGTTATAAAGCTTATTATACAACCGTATTGATCTGATGGTCTCCAGACACGGGCGGGTTTAGTAAAAAGTCTTTTTAAAGGACACAGACACTGCATATTGTTTTTTTTGAGTAAATCTAAAGCAACATATCACATTTAGCTCCTTCATTCAAATTCTGCTCAGGTGAACTGTTAGACCTGACCAAGGTGTCTGGAGTCCCAGGTTAAATATTTTTATAAAGCTCTGACTGAAATGCATATAAAGGAGAATGCAGTCAGAATAGCATACAAGCGCCTCTAAAAACGCATTTAAACTTAAAACTGTAATGAATCACTCACTCTTATTTTGCTTTATCTGCTTTTCTTTTAAACATTTTGTTGGACAAAACTCCATATAACCCAAACCATAAGAGTCTGAAAATACATTTGATTTAACAGGCAAATGTACAGCTTATATAAACGATTACGAAACTGTCATGATTGTGTAGGAGGCATGCCGACTCCTCTTCTGCCTCTTTTTTGTGATTGTGTTTTATGTGTAGATTGGGGATGTTTTTAACTAATTTACACAATCAATGATGTCAACATTCCTGTTTTTGTGAAAATTTAAAGTTTAATAGATCTAATTAATTTTCTCAAACTTTACTGTTTTTAAACTAAACAGGAGAAAATTATTTCAAAGTTATAAAATAATTTCAAAGTTGCAGCTGCAGAAACGACACTCAGTTTCTGCTGATAAGAAGACAAAGCTACCGTAATATTATTTTTAATCTGCTGAACACACTCAATGAAGTCCGCCATGTTGTCCATCTGCCACGTTTTTCCCTGAATAAGTGTTTGTGGAAGCACTTAGATGTCCATGTGTGCCGACGTTTGTTTTCATAAAATACTGCCACACCTGCAAACACAAAAGTCCCTCGATATTCAGCAAACTATCATTATTTTTATTTGTTTACTCTGCATCGCTCTGATATTATTAATGATACTTTCACTGACTAAATAGAGTTTAAAATCTAGCTGGAGCATTTTTGGTCACATTTTAGATAATATGACTAGAAATAAAATGTTCTGTGGATGGTTTCTTGGTTAATTGATCATTAGCTGGATGTTGATCGTTGAGTCTTTAGGGAGGGCTTTAAACTCCCCACTGATAGTGAACATGCACACTTGTGTTATTGTAGAGAATAAAAGTAGTAGAATATAAATGATGTAGCTCTTAATTGCTCCATTTAAAAAAGTAGCGCAACGTGAAGCAATGTTTCCAACTTAAAACAGGTTTAATGGTTAATACATAGAAAGGATTAAACCATTTGATTTTTCTGCTTTCAATATAGGTCTCTGACTTAACTCAAAATTTCTTATAACTTGCACAATAAAATATTTTAATTTGTAGTGAAATTGTTCTTACTAAGAGTGGCAGCAATTTAAGATGCTTCAAAATGAGCAGGAAAAAAGGTATTTAGTCATGCCCTTTGTAGTATGGTTAAGTAATCTGGTCAAAGTATGACATTGTGTCATTTTTAGTATAAGTTGATCTTTTTTATCTGCATGGTTGGAAAAGTCTGAGGAATAAATTATCTTTGTCAAATAATGTAAAGAAATGTAACAAGAAGCAGAAATCAATAGAAAACATTTTTAATTCTGACCTTTGCTCTTTATCACCTTCTTCAAACGGGGCAAGTGTTTCCAGGCCGGTCTTAATTACGACATTATTTCAGTCGTGATAATATCTCGCACGGAGTTTTAATGGTTTATTCCCTTCATCTTGCAGGCATTTTATTTGGCAGGGCACAGTTAGGAAGATAATTGCTTTAACCAAGTCTACCAAATTCACTTCAGTCACAGCTGGGTCTAAAAGTGCTCACTTCATACAAATGGTCTATAAAACAGAAAACAGCCTCTTGCCAGAGCAGTTGACACCTGGCAGGATGGAGCTACATTTACGACAAATCCTCGCCCCGCCATCTGCATGATGAGGCATAAACCGGGATTTATGTGACCAGATGGAAGTCTTCCGGTCTTAAATCATTCACTTTTGTTCCTGCGAACGCACTCCTCTCCTCTTGTTGCTAGCTGCCACGCGTTTTTTTTGTTTGTTTTTTGTTTTTCAGGTTGAAGTGTGCTTGGTTTGAGCTCCTCATTCTGATATTGGGGCCTGCTCATTTGCCCGAATCAGGCTTGTTGTGTTAACTTTAATCAGCTGCAACACACTTCCCCTAAAATCTGCTGAAGATGTGGACAGATGCCGACATAATAAGCAGCCACACATCAAAAGTTGGCTAGTGCAACTAAAGATACTGAAATAATTTTTGTAATTATTCAGCGCTACTGAAATATTAACTTGTGTTGAAACAGTCACTTTCCATTTGCTTTCCCTTATTTATTTTACAGTTTTTCTCACAATCTGATACAGTCTTTACTCTTTTTTTTTTTACAAACTGTGATTTTTAGGGAGCATTACAGAGCAGAGATTTTTTAATCGATGCCAGTAGCTGTAAAAGTAGACTTGTGACTTGCAAGACTGATAATGAGGATTACCTAAAAAGTAAAATATGGTCCATGCCTGAAATACGTTCTCACGTCTGAACCTTTGTTATTGGATTTGTCCAGTGTCGTGTGTGAGATTGGACATATAGGCCCCAATGAAAGCCTCTCGGGTCCAGTGGAGATATGGGTGAATGGGGGAAAGAGAGGAAAGTCCCGCATTAACTTCACCTACAGGGTAAGTACCAAACTTTACTCTGCTGCCTGACTAGAAATAAGTCTTAAATGTTTTAAGGAAAGGAGATAAAAACTTTGTTGGGGATTTTTGTGTGTGAAAGAGGAGCACAACGTAGTGGTTAAATGTAAAGTGGTAATTCAAAACTGTTTTTTGGGGGGGGGTTTTGAGCACTTGTGAAAAATCAGATTTGAAGACATATTGTGGTTTTAAGTCTGGACTTTGACTGGGTCATTTTAACACATAAGATGCACATATGCATGCTTGTTCTGCATACAGCTAAGGGTTCCCATCAAGTATAGGTTTCATTTGCCCACTGAAGGATAAGCATCCATAAAGCATGATGCTGCTACAGCCCTGTGCCAGGGGTATGAAAATCAAGGGAATTCTGAAAAATTGTAAAAACATTTGAAAACTATTCACTTTTTTTTACCCTTCATATTTTTGCTTTTTGTGTGTGTGTGCCTGTGTGTGTGTACGTGTGTGTTGGTTTGTCCCAAAAAGCAGAGAATGTTTGTGGTTGAAATTTGATAAATGAGACAAAGCCATATGAAAACTTTTGCAAGCCACTACACTCTTCTTAAAACTTAAACTAGATCATAAATTATGCATTTCTTTGTTAAAATGCTCCAAATAGGGGTAGAGTTTAATTTTCATTATTGAAGTGCTAAACAGCAGTTTAACTTCAGTAGTCACTTTTTCTTAATGCTTTATAAGATCACAGCTCATCTTTTTTTAACTGGCCTTTCATATCGCCGCCTTTTCCCCCCACAAGGGAATTGCTTCTGCCTAACTACGCGGCATTTTGAGGCAGATGTGCAGCTTGTATGGGTTTGTGGCAGAATGCTTTTGATAGAGCGAGTGTGGGTTGTTCAAGGAGCCCGAGAGAAAGGGTGCATGTTTACGGCGCAGCACTGTTATCTCTGTGTGTGTAGCTCCTCTGGTTGTGTGAGCCTGGGGGTTGACGCTTGTGTGTTTGAGTCCTTGCAAGATAGATATGTGCACTTATTCAAACATTGCTTGGTGACAAACAACCTGACTGCTTTTTCTCCCTGCCCCCCCTTTGCTAGGACCCAGTGCCAGAAGCTGTGCACCCTGCTAGAGGGCCTAAAGCAGGGGGCACGAACATTACAATAACTGGGCAGTTTCTGAACACCAGCAGCAAGGAGGATGTCCAGGTTAAAGTTGGAGACATGAACTGTGCTGTGTAAGGATTGCATTCAGGTTTCTATGGATGCCATTAATCTCTCTGATGAAATAGCCAGCTGTTATCCAGACGTAAAGCCTGTTTTTGCACAAAAAGTAAAACTTTAATTGAACTTAGCTATAGAAATGTATTTTCCCCTCTGTTTCACTCTTGTGGCTGCCAAAGTTCCTTCAAACTTAATATTTAAAAATAACCAAGAGAAGCGTTTGAGCCAGGACTGTTGGGTTGCTGCCATGTTGGCTTGCACAGCGACCTTTTGTAGCCCACCCACCCTTCTTGCCTGTACTGAGCTTTGTCCTTGTCTTGGCAGGAAGGAATTCGGGGAAGCTATCGTCTGCAAGACAGGTGAATACCAACAGGAGAAGTTGCCTCTGGAGAAGCTGCCCGTCACAATTCAGTACGGAAAGAAGACCATTACGTTCGTCCAAGGTGCCTTCCAGTACATGGAAAACCCAACGGTGTCGGACCATCAGCCCAGAGGAAGCTTCGTCTGGTCAGTTTAACTAAAGCATCCACCTTTGGTCACAGTGTGATATGATCTGGTTCTGTTTGACATGTTAGGATTGTTAGGATTTGCATATTTTAGTTGTTGATCATGATAGTGATCTATTCATCTCTATAAGCCTGGTGGGCCACCAGGCTTTACTTGTGGCCCCATCAGGCTTAACATTTCTTATGTTTTTTTAAGTCTTTTTTAAAATGTTAGTATTTTTTTAAGGCTTTATAGTTGTTGTTCAGGTATTAATGTCCAAGTCTTTCAATTACACATAATTATCAAGTGATATATTTTCAAACTTCCTGTCAACTTTAAACATTTTTTAACTCAGAAACACGACAGGCCGCTGGATGAATGACTGGAGCACCAGACCACCAGGCTTAGCAAGTTTTCTGGGGGGAAACCTTATCTTCCATTGGAGAGATTTCAAAAATATGTTTTGAAGGGACTTGTATGGACTTGGGAGCAAGCTGCAGTGTTTTTACCATAAACTTTGTACAGTTATTGAAGTCCTTTAAATCTGTGGCATCTGCTCTGCTGTGGGCCAAATATCACAAATAGTTGTTACAAGTTTTCAATTTTCAAATGTTTTTAATTTTCATTAAAATGGGAAAAAAAAACTGTTTTCACCTTTTTTCCCATTACAATCAACATCTTCACTGTCTTTTATGGAGATTTTATGCGATTGACTAAGTAGCAGAAAATTTGTGAAATAAGGCAAAAACACATTGCTTTGCTTTTTTATTAGTAATAAAAAAGCTCCACCCATTTTTCTAAAAGTCTTTCATGTACATTGAAGTTGTAAATTGGGGGGAAAAGTCCAAAGGCAATGGATTTTGATCCAATAACTTTTGCTTTACAGAATTTGAGGAAAAGCCATGAAAAACTCATAAACTTGCTATAAATTATGTTTTAAAAAGACTGCGGTGTGCTGCAACAGTTGCACCTCCCATAGAAACATCTGAAATCAAACATCGATCTGGAGCATAACCCTGAAAGTCGTATTGGGGGGGGGGGGGGGGGAAAGAGAAATCACAAGAGTCAGACTTCTACATTTCCAGCCCGAGGGGTTGTCTTCGAGCTGAAGGAATAGACCCAGGACAACACGTACTAACATTTTAGATAATTAAAGGACACACTGCTATACTCAGACCGGCAAAACACACACAAGTTGCATTCAGCGCTCTGTACCTGTCGGAGAAAGCCTTGAGCACCTTGTAACTATAAACATGCTATTACAGACATCACCCCTGACATCGCTTTCCTCGAAAGGCATAGGCACCTCAGGCTGCTCATATTTCTGTATGGAAACAAATTGTTCTGGAACGGGTTTTAAGTTATACATTTCACAATTGATTTTGTTTGTCTAAGAGGTAAACGCACCTTTTTCTTTTTTTTTTGTTTTTTTGCTAGCACTTTGCCGTTTTGCAAAAGATAAACTGCTGCTTAACGGCTTTGCGATCCCCAGGTGACGAATCCTGAAGATGACCACAAACGATAACAACATTTGTGCTCACTTAGCCTGTAAAGTACATCTGTGTATATGTGCTGGTTGGCAAAGCACATTTTTATGAATAAATACATGCACTTTAACAAATGGCTGCTTTTCTCAGATGGTGAATATCATCTACATTATCTTATAAGCAAAATCGATGTGTTGGCGCTTCGCTCCCAGCGCTTTTCTGCAACGGCTGACAGCCTCTCTGTAAAGTGTTGTCTTGTTTTGAAGGCTTCAGGAGATGCAATTTTCTGGCCCTAACAGTCATCATCCTGCCAGAGCTGCTGATGTCTAAATCTCTGCAATGGAAGCGGTGTAGCAAAATGTCACAAAGACCGTTAGAAGTGAGGAAAAAAATGAGCGAACAGGACTCGGACTGATTGCACCTTTTGAACTCCAAGAAGTAAAACAGAGTTTAAAAATGGAATAAGAAAGACTTAAAAATGTACCGTGTAATAAAGTGTTTGATAATTTCTTAATCAGTTTTTCTCCATTATCTGTTTTTCCTCCATTATGTATTGAAACAACTTGCTGTAAAATTGCTTTAGCTTCTTTTTAAAACGCCTGTTTTCTTACAAGTCGCTCATTTTCTTTAAATTTAATCTGAACTCTGTGTGTCTGGGAATTCACATGCATAATTTCTGTTTGATTTGTGTTTCTAGTGGTGGGAGGAACATTGTGGTCACAGGCTCCGGTTTTGATCTCATCCAGACCGCTGTGATGAGGGTCCAGGGAGACAACTCATCATCTGTCGAGGTCTCTGCTACATTTCTTCATCACCGTTTCTCTTCTTTGATCCGATCTGTCATCGAGCGTTTGTCTTTTCCCAGTCACTTGTCTTTGGCAGCGCTGTTCTGCTCTGCTCCTTCGTTGACGATTAATTCAAAATTAGCTTTGCTGTTGTTAAATTAACTTCTGATTTACATCCATCCCTTCTTTTTTTTTTCTCCCACCAATTAGGAACACTCTTTAAATCTATAAACCCTGTTAAGCTCAAGGTAAAAGACAAATTGTCTCAATCTCACCATAAAGTAACTAATCCTTGACCGGCTTCATTAGGTTGATCCGAGCCAGAAGGTTTTGCTGCTGTTTACCAATCTGTGTCCTGGGCAGCGTTTTCTGGACAGATTCAGTTCATTTTATTTAAAGACCTCCATGTAATAGCAGATTTAAAGTTTCACAACGGTGCTAAACTTTACCACTTTGTTCTTGGGCCAAGGTTCTGGGCAGAGATTGGAAAAATACTTCTGGCCGGCACAGCCTAGAACGGGATGTAGAGTGTTATCTCAAAGGCTTAAGCTGCTCTGTTTGATAAACTCCTCTTGGTTCAACTCCATCCAACTAAGCCCAAATATGCACACACATTATTGCTGCTGGCACGTGGTAAACCAATGTTTATATGTAGGTCAGGTTGGTGGTGAGCCATCAAGTGGTTTTCTGTTTTTTTGAAAGACGCTCTGTACTTTTCATTTTGAAACGCAGCCCTCTGTAGTCTGCATATCAGTTATCATAAGCAGTCATATTTAAGAGCCAATTTCCTTACTATGACGGAGAGTAGAATGGTTTTTGTGGTCGGCTGTAAGAAGCCTTATTGAAAATGTTTATATTACCATGTTGAAATATGAGGGCAGTATTGCACTTTTGTATAATTCCAGATAATCTTAGGCTAGATTTAGCTAAACTATAACATGTAAAATTGTTTAATTTATTTATTGGTAAAATGTAAACATTGCATATAGTCCTGTTTATAATAATAGCAGTGTGGTAAAAAAAAAAAAGGGTAACACTTCATTTGAAAGCGTGTGCATAAGACTGACATAACACCAGTCATGAACATGACAGTGTTACTTGGTAAATAATGACATTTTTAATGCAAAGTTTCATTGAAATGTGCATTAAAAATCCGTTAAAAGCATCAACTTTGCATTAAAAGTGCAGTTATTCACCAAATAATGCAAAGTTAACAATTTTATTGGACTTTTAATGCAACTTTTAGTACAACTTTGCATTAAAAATATCATTATTTACCGAATGACACGTCATGACAGCAGACACAAACATTCATGAAGATGTCAGACATATGCACACCCCGTCAAATAAAGGGTTACCAAAAAATATAAGTGAAGCTTGAATTTCATGTGAAATTCAAGCTTTATTCTGTTTTCTAAATCAAATCTTTAAAACTGTGTTACATTTTCCCCACCTACAGAATTGCACTTACAAAATATTGTCTGCATTTTTCCTTACAAACTAACTGAAATATGCTTGGAAGATTTAGCTTCCCTGTAAACCAGTGAAATGGCATTTAGTTGTTTAAGAGAAGTGCTGTAGGAATTCAATGATTTCTCTGCATTTCTTGGTTTTGCCTCATGGCTGCTGTTGCCCCTGCTGTCTGACAAACTGTCTGCAGCCCCTAAAAACCTCTAACAAGAACAACCTCGCTGTCATCAGGCCACAAAATGTTGCTTTACTTCTCTTTAGACAAGGAAATGTGTTTTTTGGTCAACTTTAGCGTCTTCAGTTTGAATCCTTGGTTTGTTCTTCTGTGGCTCTCATGTAACCTATAAAGATAGATTTAAATATTCTTGCATGTCGTTCTAGTTTGGCTTTCACCTTTAAAAGTATTTGAGGTTATTGTAGCTAAGCAGCGTTTCTACCACTTTGTTTTCCTCTTTCCAGTTATTTTCTTAATCAAAACGCGTTTCTGTTTTAAAAGGGATCAGGAAACAACGCATTTCGTTCAGGTTATCATATTGGAATGCATTATAGCCAACATTTGCTGAACTGAACTCCACTCCATTATTTTAAACCAGGCTCCTTTCAGTTTGTAAATGAGTGGCACAAAATCAGCAGCATACATGTCCTGGATCTGTTCTCTTTTTTTTTTATTTTTAAGTTATTTGTCATGTCTGGTTGGCGACACAGGACTGCTCTTATTTTAAACAAAAGCTTATAGCAGCTATAGTAATCTTTAAAGCAAAACTCAGCATATTCTCTATATATTATTTCATATCAAACTAGACCTGAATGTAAAATACACAGACCCATGTAATATGAGTAACTATGAATAGAAAACATACATGGTGAAAAAAAGATGCTCTGTTGTATTTTTTTTCCAAATAAATGCAAAAGTATGAGTTTCAAATAAAAAAGGCTGAAATTTACTTGTTTTTAGGAAATTAGGTAGACAAATTAACGCTTTAAGGCAAACTTAAGCCATACAAATGACAACAATAATAAGAATTTAAACTCACAGTTGGTTTGAATTTATGTGAATTACGGCCCACCTGCCTTCTCTTGCAAAGATAAACTGTGACGGAGATTGCTGGGGGGTTTTCACTCCGTTATCACAACAATCAGTGAGTGACAGAGTATAAAAAAAAGCAAACTAAAAAGTTTAATAAAGTGCTGAAATGCTGTTTGGAGGAGTGACTGTGATTTGTGACTCATCAGAGGCAGATGCTGCTCTCTGTGGCAGATTGGAGTCTGAATGATGATTTCAAAGATGTGCATAATTTTATCCTCTTTATTGTACAAAAAACTGCAAAAAAAAAGCCCAACAACAATAAAACAAAGGCCCTTCAACACCTACTATTTGCTTTTTGAATCTCTAATCCCAGTCGATAGCTTTCTGTGCTCGTACTGGTGTGTCTTCTACATTCATTTCATTCATTTCTTTTTTTTTTTTTTTTGGAAACGACTCAGGTCGCCCACGAGAAGAACGACACGGTCATCCAGTTTCGCTCTCCGACTGTGAGCGGCTCTCACAGCCAGGACTTCAGAACCTACATCCAGCTGGACAACTGGGTGAAGGAGCTCAAGTCCTTCAAATACTACGCCAACCCCGTCTTCGAGAATGTGACGAAGAAGGTCATCACCGAGACCAGCATCATCATCGTCAAGGTGAGCGCTCGCTGCACCGACTCCCTTCAAACTGTTTCGTTTCCTCGAAACAATTAAGAGAAATTGCTTTGTTATCTGACATGAGTTAAAATGAAAATGTGGGGGGGAAATTGCTGAGTTGCACTTCTGAGACATTAACGTTACTTAGCAGCTCATATCCTTCTCGGCTCTGTTGCGTATAAAAGTTATGCAAATAACAGAGCACTTGTTATCTTTAAGTTGTTGGTTGGAAATGATGAATGCAAATTAGTGTTGCAGTTCGCAGACCTTGTAGAAATGTAAGAGAACAGCTTAGGAAACAAAAAGGCTTTGGCTCGTTTGTGGTATACAGTTAGGGATTACAATATTTAAATAAACTGAATGTTTTATGTGGTCTAGATTAAAAATGAGATTCAAATCATTCTTTAAATATACACAAATGCTCATTTCTTCAGCTTTTTTCCTCATAATTAAAAGAGTTGAATATTTCCTCATATCTTCTTCCAGTTTTAAAATGTTTTATTTTAAACTCTTAACTAGGAAGTTTAAAACAGGAAAAAAAAAGTGATTTGTCATTGTTATATTGATTAATGCAGATTGTTCAGTTTACATTTTCTTACTCCAAAAAATTATGATAAAGCCAACAGTCTTTGACTTAATGTTTTGAGCTAAGATCAGAATAAACACAAGAGCTTTTCGGTTATTTTGTTGTGGTTTACATAAATCTCCCTTGTACTAAAATAATAATAAGTTTGACTTATTGTCTCCCCAGTGATTTGATTTGACAGAAATGTAAGGTTGATTTTCTTAAGTGAGCAACCGCTTGTAATTATCCCTGCAGCAACTATAATCTTAGGAATTTAAATGACTTCTAATTACTTTTCAACCCTTAAACAGAACGGGACTGTTAAGAGTTTTGCTCTTTTCACCCATTTCTAATTAAAAAGCCTAGAATAATGCTCGCTCTGCTCTTTACATCCTTTATCTAATGTTGGTAGTTATTATTTCTTTCCTCTCCCGTCCTGTTCGGTCTCAACACGGTGAGCGTTTCTGTTGCTCTTCTCTCGAAGGGTCGAGGGTTCTCCAGGGCGATGACCGCCAAGGAAGCCCAAGCGTTTGTGGGTGACGTCCAGTGTCAAGTCAACACGCTTCAGGACGACAAGCTGTTCCTGGACCCACCTTCCAGTAAGCCCCGGGCCCGCTCCAGACGGCAGCGCCGAGACACCCGCCCCGAGCTGCTGGACCTGATGGTAAGAACAGATCAAGACCAAGAGCTGAAGCATGGAGGAAACGCCCAGCATGATGTTAAACTATACTGTCCAATGTTTCCATCCATCCTATCCATTCTAATGTGCACTCTTTGTCCACATTGTATGAAGATATTTCCTGTATGAACTTGACTCGGGCTCTCAGTGCATTCTTAGTCTTTGCAGCTACAAACTTTAAAGTGGAGAACGTCCTCCTTGGCAGTGGAGTGGAAGTGTAAATGAGAAGAAAATCAAAAAGCACACATCCCTCAAATCTGCACTAAGAAACATTATTACTTGATTAAATGTTCTTTGCAAAAACTCCAGACCCTCATGCAGAGGTGTAGAGGAGAACAGCTATTCATTATGAGTATCAACTCTGGTTCTCTAGGCATGTCCTCTATACGTCTTGAGACTTTTTCTTTTTTTCCTTTTCTCCAGCTGAAGAATTTCTCTGTAGCTACAGGCCCCTATAATTACATTTAATTATATCCAACCCACAATTGTGATGAATAGAGTAATCTCTCCCATGGGTAGTACCTAAAAGTGAGCTATTGTTTCATTTCTGCGGCTGTTCTGTGCTGCATAGTTAAGGAACATGACTGGACTATCAACAGTACAAGATGTGTGCAGTAAAGAAAGGAGAGCACACTGGGATCTGGCATAACATTATGATCACTGACGGGCGAAGCTGCACCGATGATCCCTTGTTCATAGTGGTACCGGTTACCGAGTGGGACACGTTGGGCTGCGAGTGAACATTTTATCCTCAAAGTTATGCTATAAAGAGAAAAATGGACAAGAGTGAGTATTAGTTTTGTTCTGATAAGAAGGTGTCGGAAGATAAACTGTGCATCCCAGTTTGTAGTGCTGCCGTTTTGGCAGCAAATGGAGATCATAATGTGACGGCGAACAATTTTACGTGTTAACATTTGTCTGATTTAAAAGGAAACGGTGGCCGTTTCACAGCAGCAGTTCTGCATACGCTTTGTACGAATGTTGCTGATTGTACAAAGAATGTAGACTTAAAATGTTCTCATGTTTTGTGGCATTTTTAGCAATTTAAAACTACAATAAAATGTTCTTATTTGTCACTGTTTACAATCATAAGCACCCCTATTTCTCTAAAAGTAAAACTTACATCATTTAATAGGCCATTTGCATTAGAAGCACCAATATAATTATGTTTAATCATCTGTTCAAATATATTGATATTTGTTGATGATCTTATTGTACCAAGAGTAAAGAAAGTTACTTTAACAATCCCAAGTGTACTGTTTGTTTTTGGGGTTTAAAGTAGGGATTTTCATTTTAGCAATAGTTTTTGTTTCTTCATTGTAATCAACGATAGCAATAATTGTTTCTTCCCAGTTTATACCGCAGGCTTTTCACGGATTGGTCACAGCAGTTTTGTGTAATTGCAATTAGTTTTTTGGAAGAGTGACCTTCAGTTATTAAAATAAAATGTATTAATTTTCGTGATATATTTAGTTAAAAACATTTCGTTGAAGGTCAGTATGTAGGACACACTGGCTTTCTGCTGGTGCGAAGCCGACCTTGTTCATTTTCTCGTCACTAAAATGGATTTCAGTCGAAATAGGAGCAGATTCACATTTGTATACTTGTGTGTTGCTTTGCACGCTGTCTGCCACTGACTGTTTCTGGGTAGAACATGCTTTATTCTATACATTGTAAGAGTTTCCCACTGTGTTTATCCACAGATCAAGTTTGGAAAGGGAGAGTGGGTAATCGGCTCGGTGCAGTATGAGAAGAAGAACGATTTGTCTCTCTACATAATCATCCCTGCAGTTATTGTGCCCATGCTGCTCATCATCATCATTTCAGTCTACTGCTACAGGTGAATTAGGCTCACTCCCATGTGGTAAAATGCAGTAGCGGGGATTCACACTATCACCGATTTAATTATAAATCAGAATTAAAAAACATTTTTTTGCCGTATAGTACGGAGCTAAAACAGTGTCAGTGTTCACACGTGCACAGAACGATTCACAAATGCAATGCAAGATTCGCACTTGTACTTTTGATGCAAACACAAATGTATCTTCATTTACCAGCTGATTCTGGTCTGCGAATTTTGCTTCGAGTTAAGAGACCCTGACTTGACTCAGCCCACAAATGTCATCTTTTTAACAGGGAAACAGATATCGTCCTTATTTCAGCCAATCACAAGAACACACCTCACGTGGAGGGTGTAACTTGTGTATAAGCCAATCATATTAGCCCATTTCAACAGCGCTGTAGACAGTTTACAACTCAACATGACTAAAGGCAGCAATAGTGGAGCAGCTGCTCATCGACATGTTATGAGAAGTTTTTAATTATGAATGTTAATTGGTTTAATTGTGCAAGCTGTGTAAGAGGGGCCATGCTACTAAACTGTGCTAGCCAAGAAGTTGAATTTCTTGTAATGAAGCCAAACCAAGGTAGCAGTTCGGGATTTTGTAAATTTACTGGCCCTGTAGATTTCCTCAGCCCCAAGATAATAATAGCCTTGGTTTTAAAGTTCTGCCCTTTATATGATCAGTTATTAAAACAAGGTAATAATTCATTTAAATCACACTTTTCATAAACACAAAGCGATTATTTTTACTTACCCTACAAGGCTGAAGGCCTGCCAAAATATAAATATGTGCCCCTCCGGCCCCCTAAAACACATGAAGATGTGAACACTGGTGCGAGCATCAAAGTAAAAATTGTGCGTTGGCGTTAACGACAAGGTGGCGGTGCCAGAGCTCCCACAGTGAAAATAGAGTTTGGAACATGCGAGGGCCACCAACGCTGCTCATGTTTGCATCAGAAATACTTGTGAATCTTAATTCTGTGCATTTGTGAATACTGAGACTGTTTTATCGCCATGGCACAGCGCAGATGAAATGTTTTATTGGACCCACTGTTGCAACTTTCCTCTCCTCTTTGCATGAGTTTAGGAGAAAGAGTCAACAGGCCGAAAGAGAATATGAGAAAGTCAAGCATCAGCTGGAGAACCTGGAGGAGAGCGTCAGAGACCGCTGCAAGAAGGAGTTCACCGGTAATGGGAAACCAGCTGCTAATTCTCAGCAATGTGATTAATGACTGATGAAGAGTGCTGTGCTTCATTGCTGTGATTCTATATTTTTTTTCACTGCAATTAATTCAGCTCTCCCTCTTAGTCTTGTTCTGTCATCAGTATGAAAAGCGGTTTAGCAAAAAAACGGTTATAAAAAGCGGTCTTTTAATGTGGAATTGATTTTTCCTGGAAGGTTTTTTTCTTTCTATATCTCTAACAACGTAATTTAGACAGATCAGCAGTGCACAAAGGAAACAGGGGGGGGGGGGGGGGGGGAGGCACGCCTCCTAATTATTTGGAAAAAACGAATATATTTTATTTTTTGTTTTATTT